AAATTTTCTCGACGAAAATTCATCATTAAAGAAAAAAAGAGATTTATATCGTTTACCAGAATGAATGTCTTCATTAGCTAAACGATTTGATAGTGGACAATTACAAACAGAAACAACAATATCTATTAATCAAATTGATTATCTTGATGTAGATATTCGATCAATATTAATTAATGATCTTTCTATTCAACATTTATTTTCTGTTCAATCACAAGTTATACCTTATTTAATTCAACAAAACCAATCACATTCACCAATACCATTAGCTGATATTTGTGTATCATCACCAACAGGTAGTGAAAAAACTTTAACATATGTTATACCATTATTACAATGTATTCGTCATCGTGTTATACGTGCTATTCGTATTGTTATTCTTTTACTTGTATAAGATTTAGCTGAAGAAGTTTATAATGTTGTTAATCAAATAGGAAATAAATTACAATTAAAAACAGCTTTACTTGCTGGACAACATTTATTTAAAGATGAACAAAAAATTTTAGTTAAACAACAATTGAATGGAAGTAGGAAAAGTCTTGTGTAACGCTGACTTGCTGAAGTTAAAACATGAAACTCATATGTGTTCTTCAGCCTCATTATCCTAACACAAAATTCATTAAGTAAAAACCTCTAATAGATTATAATTGTTCTCCAAGGGTACTCCGTTTTTCTTAATTTAGCGTTATTATTATACTTACAGTAGGTCTTAAAGCACTAAAATATAACTTAATCAGTCAGCGATTTTAATGTTGATCATATGACATACTTTAAAATTTGAGCACCAGTGAGGTACGAGATTTGCACTAGTTAGAATAGTTTAAGTTTTGTAGTTAATGCTTTTTTTTTGTTGCTAAGGAGTCTGAGGCCCGTTTCACGTGAGTTCCACAAAAAATAGTTTATCTGTTTTATTTTATACTTCTAAAAATCATTTTTTTTTGTTTCATAAAGGTTGGATATCATCTATTGACATTAATGTTTGTACAGTTGGTCGTCTTGTTTAACACATTAGTAGAATGCCAGGATTTTCTTTAATACATCTTCGTTATCTTGTTATTGATGAAGCTGATAGAATAATAGATAAATTCAAACAAGATTGGTTAAATGTTCTTGATACTGTTATTGGTTTATCAAGTCATTTAAAAAATGATTTTCAACCATATATACTTAGTCAATCATCTTCTAATCATAAAATCTATCAAGAGTTATTCTTTTCAGCAACATTAACACATAATCCTGAAATTTTACAACAATTAAATCTTTTTCGTCTGGTACTTTTTTTTACCATTGTCAATATCGACATCGATTACAATGCTTTCAATTTTACTTGAAAATTTTATTGTTTATTGAATAACATATAAACCATTAATTGTTGCTTATCTTATTCAAAATGAATTACATTCTGAACGTATTATGATATTTGTTCATTCAAAAAAAGATGTTGATCTTTTCAGTTCTTTACTTAACTGATATTTAGAAATATATTTTCATAATAGAACGTCAAATACTGACTGAGTAGCTGATCGAGTATTTAACAAGTTCGTTGAAATATATTTAGAGAGATTATTTTACGCATAATGTTTGATTATCTGATTGCAAGATAGTGTTAATAGTCAATTTATTTGTGTGTCCCATTAGAATAATGTCACAAAATGGATATTTTCAAGTGATAATTTGTGGTTAGATGTTTTCTTATAACTTAGTTGAATCGACCAATTTGATAAATAGTCGTAAATGATAACTAGTATATAACCACATTGAAGTTGTTACTTAAGAGAACATAAGTTTAGTCTTCTATTCGATATATTATCTTCGATAATAATTTTTTCTTTTTAAAGATTGAAAAATATTATTGTAGAAGAGACGATTTATCTTTGCGTGAAAATACTAATAATTACGTTGAATAAATATTAAAATTAATTCTATGTTCTTAATAAATAAAAATTGATTCAATCGAATTTTACTTGTTCAATTTTTGAGAAAATTATTTTGATTTAACGACTCATTGGTACAGCTTCGTGATTTGAAACTGAAACTTTTTTATTGTTTGTTTTATGAAGGATTGAAGTTTTATTAATGTGTCAAGTAAAATCTGTAGAAATGTTATTTTTCTTTTAGTGATTCAATATGTGAATATTATATCGCAACTTCTGAATAAATCTATGTTTTAAATGTATGATTTATTTACTCAGGAGATTCTGGAATAATTGAAAATGTCATTTAAAAAAAAAAAAGCATTTTTCTTCCTATCAAAACATTTATCAATTGGTTTTAGTTACAAATAATTTATTTATCAAAGAATTTAACAAAAAAAATTTTTTTTTTGTGTCTCTACTTCTATGATTTCAAGATAATTTTTATTAAATATAAATTTAAATAAAATGTTTATCGGTTTGATTAATTATTTTGCTATTAATGATAGATAAATACAAAACAAAGTTTCTATTGGTAAGATTTCTCCAATAGATATATTCTAACAAAAAACATAGATAGAATAGTTGCCAAATAGAAACTAACAATTAAGAAATATTTCCTGACATTAACAAATTTATCAAATATTCCTAATTAATTTTTAAAATTTTCAATCGATGAATTATTTTCTATATAAAAACAATATTTTTTCATATATTTGATAATTAATCTGCTTATTTTCTGTACTATTAAAATCCATTAGTATTAATCATTCTTCATATAATTTTTGTCGAAGTAAACAGTCGATAGAACGTGGTTGAGTATTTTTTTTCGTCATAGAATAGAAAAAAAAGAAAAAAGAAAAATAATTTTCTTTGTCTTTCTATCTTCAAGCCGCAATAGACGATCGTTGAAACAGCTGCAATGTATCCTATCGGACTGGGATGAAATGTGGCAAGGCCAAAGAACAACAAAAAAAAAAAAACATAGAACGGAAAAAATAGAGAATGTAGAAAAAAAAACAACAACGATTACATAGCAGTATTGCTTTCATGCAATTTATCTTTTTATTTTTACGATTGAGAATTTCTTTTTAATATTAAAAAAGACTTTTTTTTTCAATCATTCATTTGAATAGAAAAGAAAAAATGACTCAAATGGATACATCGATGGGTATTGAATGTCTCATAAGGCCTACAACCGACATGGTAGATATGACTTTGGCTTCAGGTAAATATACACTCTTCATTTTTCATTATTATTAACTCGAATATTTGTTATTGAGTTACTTGTTTAAATAAAGATATTTTATTCGTCAATAAAATCTCTATAGCTTTATTATAGGAATTATTTTTATTGAAAAATAATTTATTTATATTTTAATTTAATATTTCTTATAAATATTTAAACTTTTTAAAATAAATTGAATGTTTATTTATAAAATCTTTTATAATATAATCAATTCATAAATCAGTTAGCATTATAATTAATCCATTATCTTTCAATGTTCTCAACATATTTTTTTAGGCCATTCTCGTCGACGACATATTGAATATTTGCCTTATCCAGATTGGAATTTTCTTGAAGAACCTCCACAATTATGTCCAGGTATTAATAAGCAAAGAAAGTTCCTATTTTCTTTTTTATTAGTTTTATTTAAAATAGATGGAAAACGTCCATTGACAGATGTATATTTGAGACGTAATAAAGTATTTGTTGATGGATTACCAGTTGAAGTTATAAATATAAGTGCAGAAAGAGATTTTAATCCTGTAACAGAATTTCTTTATCCCTATTTGTAAGTATTTATTAAAAAATGATTTATATTAAAAAAAAAGTAATATTTTTATTATTTAAAAAAAAAAGATATACAATAAAAGTTCGTCATGGTTATTCATTTGAATGGACAATACAGAAACGTTATAAACATTTTCATGATCTTCACAAAGATCTTATTCATTATGTTGAAAATCAAACAGGACGATCTATAAGTAGTTTAAATAAGTAAGATTGTCTAATAAAGATTTTATGTAGTCTTTTGTTTTGTTTTTTTGTTAAATATTTAATTTGAAGAAGTGATTTATCAGGAAAAAAATCGAATAATAATGAAAATCCTTCATTAATTAAAAGACAAGAAGAACAACCATGTTTTCCAACTCGTAATGATCGTATTGATTTTATAAATCAATTTACAATTGGAGATCGATGTGTAAGATTTCGAATTTTTTTTCTTATTGTTTTTTTTTATTTAATTTTAATTTATAGAAAGTATTACAAGATTATTTAAATAAAGTCTTAAAACATCCTAAATTTCGTGAGCATATAGCTGTGGTAAATATATATAAAAACATTAAAAAAATAAAATAAAATTTTGATTAATTTATTTAAATAGAGAGAATTTTTTGAAGTGAGTCCATTATCATTTGTACATGGTTTGGCTGTTAGTTTAAAAGAAGGTTCTATTTCAAAACGTTCAAATGATGATTTTCGTGGTCGTTCAGTATTCATTCGAGCTCCATTTATATGTGATAAACTTAAATTTCATCATGGACAAAAATGGTTTGTTCTTAAAGATTCATATTTTGTTTATATGAATCCTGGTTCAGCTTTAGTTGGATTTCCAATGCTTGTTGATAAAGCTTTTTCTATTGAACAAGGCTTTAGAAAAACTTCAACTAATAATGGTATTCGAATAAAAAATTTACAACGTTCAATGATTATTAAATTTGAAAAAGAAGATGAAAGAGATATTTGGTTTGATTATCTTATGAATGTTAAAAATAAATCTCTTTTTATTGAACAGCATCCTTTTAATTCATATGCACCAAAACGACAACAACAATATGCTCGCTGGTTCGTAATATATTTCTTATTGAATATTCTTCTTAAGAAAAGAGATTAACTTTTTTTGTGAAAGACGATCTAAAAAACATTTTGAAGTATATTGGATAGGAACTTACATTTCTCACAGAGTCTAATAGTCGTTGTTAATATACAACTAAAGATCGTATATGAATAATGTCCTATTGTAATATATGAAGTACTTCATTATTGCGTTTCTCGAAGATTGAATAAAAGGACGATGAATAAATGTATCTGAAAAAAGAGAACGAATAAAACAATCTACTTATGATTAACAGGAAGAGATACATCAGTTTTCACATTTTAATTCAATAGGAATTGTACTAATTACTATTTCACTTAAGTCTATTGGAATTAAAATTTATTTTTAAAACTAAAAATGAACTTTCAAAAATATAATTTTTTAATATAAACTGAAAAGAAAACATCTGATAGGAATCTAATGAGAGAAAAGCGTCATAAATAAAAATAAAAAAATATTGTTTTATATTGATATAGGTTTGTAAATGGTCAATTATATATGGAAGCAGTAGCTAAAGCTATATTAGCAGCACGTGAAGAAATATTTATAACTGATTGGTGGCTTTCACCTGAAATAATGCTTATTCGTCCTTGTGATGATGATTCAATGCGACTTGATAATCTACTTGGTAAACGAGCTGTAAGCTTTCAACATATTTTTCTTTTTCTTATTGTATGAATATATTCAAATTTAGGAAGAAGGAATTCGTGTTTATGTAATGATATTTAAAGATATTGTACAAGTTGTTGGTTTAAATAGTTTGCATACAAAATTAAAATTAATAGCTAAAAGTCCAAATAAAAAAAATATAAAAGTAATTCGACATCCTAATCATAGTGTTGTACCTGGAACTGAATCATCATTTCTTTATTCTCATCATGAAAAAACTGTTATTATTGATCAACGAATTGCTTTTATTGGTGGCATCGATCTTTGTTGGGGAAGATGGGATACAGATGAACATAGGTTTGTTTTTTTATTTTACACTTATTTCAATTAACGACAAAAAACATATCTTCTCATGTTAAATTTTAAGTTTTTTTTATTATATATCTAAAATTGTTTATACAAGGTTTCCAGAAAGTAACAAAATTAAGAAAAGTTTGAATAGATATCTCCGCCATATTTTGACTCAACGAGCTGATATTTTTACTATTGATAAAGGGTTAGGCATAGTTCATATTCATAGTAGAAACATTGTCAAAAGTTGTTTTAAACTAGTACAACTAACTTCAACAAAAAACTGTAATCTTTCATGATTTATGAAAAAGCAATATTGTAGTTTTCTCAATGGTTGAAACTTTCAGAATACATTGAGTAACAAGATATATATCTCTAGTATAAATATGAGACCAAAAGAGACACTAGTGTGAAAAAGTAATCGATAAAATTACACGTCATTTATTCTTGGCTAAGGGAATTAACATATTGTTTTTTTTTCATTACTCGGAAAATGTTAGTTTCTTGTTGAAGTTGGTTGTATTACTCTTCAAAACAATTTTTAACAACATTTCCCTTATGAATATGAGGCATGCA